TGTTTTGATTTATTTGTTATGTTGGAGCTTGTAATTTATTATAGGGAATTATATAATAATGGTATGAATATCATGGGATAATATTTAAGAAAGTGTTTGTCTTTATTTACAATATGTTTTACTAAGCCTAAAAATACTTTCTACATAGCTGCAATATAATCCTTGCATATTCCCTGGAAATTTTATAATAATTTTCTATAAAATTACACACAGATTAGCTATAGATTAAAAGCTTATTATTATCCAGCTTGTCTTAAGCTAAAATCTCAGCTCAATGGCTAATAAAAACCACGACAATGTCTGTCTCTGAAAACTCTGCCCCTCAAGTGTGTGGTTCCGGTTCGTTGTTTTATCTCTCTCATTTCTTTGGTTGTTATTGAATTCCTCTTATCGAGAAGTCATAATTTGGCACACGTGTGTGTCATTTAATGCTTTTTTTCGGCTTTTATTTGCTTTCCTCGCTTCGGCATCGTAAACTTTTATTGCCATTCGGCGGCTTCAATTAGGCAACTGAAATTTCATCACCATTATCGATTGTTCTCTCTCAATCTGATCCATTGGACATGCTAATTCTTATATCTGGACCTTGTCTAGACTAGAAAGGCGAAAAGAAAAATACTGGCAAGCCCACTTTTGACACGTTTTTCTCCTCAACTCCAAGCGTATCTAAATACAATTATGACGCATGTTGATTGCCTATTTAGTTGTTGTTTCGCCAGGTATTACCTGATATTTTTGTTGCTATTTTTTTATTCGTAGTTTTTTTTTTCCTGTCACTGTCACTGTTGCTGCCTGACTTCGAGGCGCATGTGCTGAGATAAGAAGGAAAATTAGCACTTTGACTTTGTGGTAGAATGTCTTGCCCATGGGGCAACATGAGCAGTTTTGCTCTCAGCGCAAAAACAAGTAATGGAAAATAAATTCAATTAACGAAGACAAGATGCCCTGGAAAGTCACAGCAAGCTAAGTCTTGGATTTTATAATTAATTTAAGTGTGAAACACACAGTGATATAACATAGATTTTACTTAGCACCTGACTGGTAAAGTTTAATGTGATTTTATAAGAAAAGAAAGTGTTTTTGTCAAGTAATTAAATTTTGTGTAATATTTATGATACAATTGAAGAAGTTCAAAGGAAATAACAATTATTAAAAGCTCTTAATATATCTTTGACATTAAATGAGTTCTCTAAACTCTAAACTTATTCTGTATTAACCGAATAAATCCATATACCTTTTTCCCCCAAAAAGACAGAGTATTGCCCAAACAAAAACGCAAATCTCAAGTAAACATGGCCCCATGTAAACAATAAATGTAAGAAATAGTCATAAAAAATACACATGCAGCGGAAAGTTTTATTTATTTTATATAGGGAGATGGGATTTCTGTTTGCCAGCGGCGGTGTCTTTATAAATTCGCTGCGCGTGTTTAGTTTATTTTTTTTATTAGATAAGGTTGAGAAATGAATGGAATTTCCATTAGAGATTACACGGTCGAAGCCATGTCATTGAGCGTGACGACAATTAGAAAAAAATTAGGAAAAGCTGTCACAATATTAAGTATACGCCCTGAAGGACGATGACACAAACTCACTTACACTTCACGGCTGAGCACTTTTCAAGTAAATAATAGCCAGAATCATGGGGGTTATGAATATTTCAAGCCCACTTTCGGCTAATGCAGCATGTGTCAGATGATGGAAGCCAACATTTAGAAAAACGAGACCCCAGTGCAGTTTAAAACGCTTTCCCGAGCATACTCACAAAAGGCCAGACACGTCGGCTATAGCCAGACATACATGAATAATCATATGTACAGCGGAAAATGTTTTTCATAATATATATTAATTGTGGTGTAAATTAAGAGATATTTTGCTTTACATATTTAGAGATGTTCAAGAACCTTTTGGGCATAATATATCTCCATTTACAAAACAATTAATATATATTATATTATATATTATTAAACACATATCTATTGTAAAAAACTATGTTTGAGGGACTATTTGAGGAACTTAAAAACGAATTGTATAATAAATATTTCTTATAATTTCTTGTTTTAATATACTTTAAAATGAACACACATTTCTCTCCGTGTACACATGTCTGCTGTGCTGTCTGAGGGAGTGCCTTGGCTCATGTTTCGAGAACAAAGCGAGGTATTGTGGTGCCCGCAGCGTTTAGCATTACACATGACAAATAAACTTCAAAAAATATTGTATGTTACGTTCCTGAAAATAATAAACAACATTGACATCGAGAGAGTTCCCTGAACTCTTATTTCACGTTGACAATATGTTGTCTTTGTGATGTGACCGCCGCCGGTCACAATTGTCTGCCCCAACAATTTGCCAAAAAAAAGAAAACAAAAAGAAGAGAAAATCAAATTTCCCTTTCGTTTCGGTGGCGTGTGAAAAGTCATTGGCATAAGCAGATTCCTTTGTTTCCCATTAGTTTCTGCTTTGTCTTACTTCTCGCTTTTGACAGCTGGCAACAGTGGTGCGTGTTATTATTGCTTTATTCTCTTGTTTTTCTGTGGCGTGTCATGTTGAACAATTATTGGCTAATTTGTAGGCACGCAGCGGGAAATCTCATCACAGCGGCTTGATTGACTTGACCTCCGACCGGTAGCAGCGACATTGGGCGGGTCAGATCTACAGGTGTGTTTTTTTTTTGTTGTTTCGCGGAGCGAGAAACGTGTCTCAAATTGTTGCTTCATCGTTTCCCCCCCCCCAAATTGAGCCTTAAATCTGCTCAGTGCTTTAAGTGTTGTACACTTCCCCGGTGTGGTCTAGGAAGAGGTCCCTATTGCCGCCTCACAGGACATTTTTCCTGCCCCTCTCTGGTTCAACGACCAACCTTCTTTTGCTTTAGGGCCGCACGCGCTGTATTAAATTTGCCACTGGGGCAATTCGTTGAGGCTTAGTATTTGTTACGCACATTTCGGTCTTTTGTTACAGACATTTCCCAGTCTCAGCTTAAGGGACAAGCAGTTGGGATAATTACACGTAGAATAATTTATGTTAGTCCTTTTTATATAGTTTGAAATAAGAAAAGAAACCTAGTTTTACTTCAATAAATTTAAAAACTTTATCAATTTCACATATTAAGGGGTCTTACTTAAGCCAAAGTTCAAAAGTTTTTTGGAATTGAATTATAGGATCGATTTTGATAGATACTAATCATAGCTAAGCTTTAAATATTTGCTTTCTTTGAATTAATATGTATCTATATTTTCTATTGCAATTTTTTCCACAAATTAAAGTTAAAAAATTGCATAACTAAGCCAAAAAAGCATTAATTTTAAATCGGAAAGCTTGCCTATGTTAGTTCTTATTAAGCTAACAAATTAGCATACTCAATTCAGGATTTTAGAATATTCAATTTTTTTGCAAATTTTTTGATAATTTTTACGATGGAACCCCTCATAAAATTTTGAAAAAATTTGAAAAGTTTATTTTTCTTCCAAAGATAGCTAGATCGACTCTGCTGATCATGCTGATCAAGAATATATATACTTTATAGGGTCGGAAATGACTCTTTGACTGAGTGGCAAGCTTCTGACTGATAAATATCCTCAAATAAATAAATATTTTCCTCTGTGCAGTATGGTTGCCCTGGATCGGATCAGGCTCTCAGGCTTTAACTATCGGATGACGGATAAGGCATAAATAATGAAATGTAATTTCAGCGCAATATTGGCGCATTGACATCGAACTGAAAGCGCGGGACGACGGGGCTGGCAATCTTCTTAACCGCCCACAAGTATTTTAAATATTGCGGGTAGAGGTTTGAGGGTAGAGTGTAGAAGGTACCGGCTTGTGGGGTTTGCAAACTGGTAACGGGGGACAGGTTGGTAAAATGCCGTCAAGGGCCGCAAACATTTCATCATCGTCGCAAGCGCTTTAACCAAATGTAATTACACTCAATAGATACACGTGCCGTCAACAGCCTCGTTGCTCTTCGTCTTTTTTGGGGCGTTTTTCAATTTGAGTCAGTCGGGACTCATCCCTGAAGCTTCTCCTGCTCCTCTGACTACTCCTCCTCTGGCTCCTCCTCCTCTGACAAACACTTGAGCAATTTCGCGTGCCCGCCAAAATGCTTTCCCATCAATATTCTGTCCAAAACCCCGGGAAGCCCATTCCCGCCAGTCACTTTAAGTTTGTTTACCTTTGGCCGATGGTCGTTAGCCAGGATTTGGAGCACGCTTAATGAGCTTGGGTCCGGGTGCTCCGGTGCGTCATCTTGAGTTTCATTTCGATGCCAAGGCCCACGCTCATGTTGCCGCTTCGAAATGTCAACCCGGAGATTGGACTTGGGACTCTGAACTCTGGACTCAACGCTGATTGTTTGCCACAAGTGATTTATGTAGTTATAATGGATTAGTGGTCTGCGATCCGGTTCGGTTCGGTTTGGGTTTTTTAAGAAGTGGAAGCGGCTTAAGAGGTTAAGAAAACCAAGTGTTTTAAATCTATTGAATATATTTTCAAGAGAAGATGATGAAACTAAGTCTCTAAGGTTTATTATATCTTAACAGCTCTTAGAATTGAATTCCAGACTACAAATAATTTCGAAAATTCTTTGATAAACCATTTCCTGAAGAACTCTACTTCTTCATATCTTTTGAAATCCCCAAATGATTTAATTTACAAAGCTTATAGTACGATGCTAGTCAACTTCCGCTGAGTGTTCTTATCGCCACCAAAATAAACCCACTTTACGACCCGCCATATCCTCTCTCTGTTTCGAAATGTGTTCTGAATTCTGCGAAGGAATCACTGCAACTGTGCGAACCGATAAATAGAAAAAACCAAACAATGCCAAAATTGCCCAAAGTTAAACGAACTCGTACGAATTTCATTATTTAATTTTATTTTGATTACTGGCCGGCGCGTGCAGTTCTTTGGGGTCGTTAAGTCAAACAGTCCGTTTAATCAATTAATCAATTTGAAGGCGTTTAATTAATTCTTTGCCTTTATTTGCATTCTATTCTTTTGCAGTGCTAACTTTCGCTGCCAGGGTAAAAGTACAGATATATTAAGGAGGCCCCCGTGAAATAAGATGACGCCCACCATATGTTCGGATAAAAAGCAGCTGCGCGAAACGAGGCGACATCATGGCGTGGCCACAGTCACCACATCATCCGCTGCCACAGCCACCACATCCTCGTCATCATCCTCAACCTCATCCTCATCCTCATCCTCGTCCTCAACATCTGCAGCTGGTGCCACACAAGCCAGCTCGGTGCTAGCCTATGGTAAGTAAACAGATGGTAAAAAATAGGCGTAGTTAAGTACAGGGAGAGAAATTTCATTTTAACTGAATTAATATATTATTTAGTTTAGATTTACTTAATGTTAAATGAGTACATATTTATATATTATACAATCTACAAACCATTTTTTTATTTACCTAAACATTACATTTTATAAGTCACTTTGCTTTTTTCAGCGACAACTTCTTTTGAGCTTGTGGTGGGCGCACGAGGCGTATACGTAACATTGCCTTATATGTCCATTCATTGCAATCTACGCTTTGTACATATATGTGTTTTTATTTTTTTTTTCTTTTGTTTTATTTATTTTTGCTACCCTTCATTGTCAAAATCCCTTGCTGATTTGCTGATGCGACTGTTGTGACTTTTGTTGTTATTGCTCTGCTCACGTTACTCGGTCATGTTTAATTAATTTATGTAAACTGGGCCACCCACCTCCGGGCAGTATCTCTACATTGTGACTGCTTCTGAGCTCGGTTCACATTTCTCACTTCCTCATTGTCATTTATAATTGTGGTCAGAGTGATAGATCTGAGAAATGAAAGGGGATTTTTATCGGAGTTTATTATTCCTTTGTTATTTGAATAAATTAACTTTGCAATTGGATTATATTCTCAAGATGTTTTAAACAATTCATTATGTAAGAAAGGAGTAGAAAAGAAATAAGTTTTAAAGTTATAAGAAATAAGTGAGTTAGGAGCCTTATATTGTTTCCAATCAAAGGTGATTTTAAAAGTTCAATCAAAAAAAGTATAAATAAATAAGCTAAATTATCTTTAAATGTAAGATATAATTTATATATATTTTTATATATTTTTATATATATCCAAGTTCATTGTCGTCATTATTATCTTGCCCATATGTGTACAGCAAAGTGTACTCGCCATGCACGTGCCCTGTGCGATGGGTCGCATTGGGATTTTCACGTGTTGGCCTCCATGCTGCCGCCTTGGTGCCTTACAGCTGCTGATGTTGCTGCCTCGCATTGCTGCTGCACTAGGGGCACGCGAGTTTGGGGTTATGCCACAAGAACTCAACGAATTTGCGTCAGCAATTGGCTCCAGCTGCTCTTCCGCCTGCGTTATTTGCTGTTAGGTAAGACAGACTCGAGTGGCAAATCTGGCTGACACGTTTATATAAGCGATCTAATGCCGCATGACTGGCAACGAAAAGGAAATGGATATACTTTTACATATATATGAGATGAGTGACGAATGAGCTTGAGCTTAAGGAAGGGAATTTATTTGATTATTATTTATAATGAGGTGAAATTATCTAAAAGACTTATGAGCTCACAAGCTCAAATAGTAACTTAGATATATACTTTATACTTTATGAATGCTCTAGTATTCTTAGATACAATTTATGGATCTGTTAAACAGGATTATAAGGTTATAAATTTATAAATACAATATCAAATGACGAACAAATTTAATATGGAATGGGATATGAACTAAGTAGGGCTAAGCTTCGCTTTTCGTACAAAGAATCCTTTTGAAAACAACCAATAAATAATGGTTCCTAAGAACATACAATTTTCTTTTTTTGTTGAATGCTTTTCTTGGAAAACTTACTAATGTAAAAAAGATTTACAGAATTTTTGTAAAGAATATTGTTAGCTAATGATCTAGTTATATGCATAATCATATTAAAAGAGTCTTTACTTCTTTAAGCTCTTCGTTTTCCCTCATATATTCTGCCTAAGCCCCGCCCCATCGAATGATGTTCACTTATTACTCATTAGCCAAGTGTTATTGTACGAATATTTACCTAGATTTTTTCCAAGAAATATATTTCACAATTTCATGAAAACCAAAAAATATTATGGAGGGGAAGAGGGGAGCCCCACATAAGTGTGTGTGGCATAACCTCCGCACGTTTTTGTTGCTGCTGTGCCACTTTTGCTGGGTTTATTTACATGTTTTGCACATTTGCTTCGCTTGCTTTTAGCCAACTTTGCTCTTTTTTTTGCTTTTGCTTTTGCTTTTGCTGCCGGCTTTATTGGTGCCATATTCAATGTGAATTCATTGAAAGCATTGCTGCTGCTGTTGCTACTGCTGCCATTTTATTTGTGCTCGTTGTTGCCTGCTAATTTCCAGCAACACATAAAAATAAACCTAAAGAAATACACCGACACACATCTAATTCAAAAAAAAAAAAAAAAACTGGGTGTGACGAGGCCACGTGAGAGCCCCTTGCGATTTCACCTCCTTGTGGATTCCCCCCAAAGACTCTGTCCCTCTTTTCCATTTTCCCCACTGAATGGAATGTTGGCCAATGCCCCTGGCCCCCTGGCTTTTATTTTAGGCATTTAAAATTTTATTTTCAAGCCTCACCGGTGACTAATTCACCGAGAACGGAACGAGGCACGTGCAGTCCCACTCATTCCATTACTCATCATCTCCCATCAATGACGAGGCTGAAAGTCAGCTTATTAAGTAAAGCAGGGGAAAAGCCGAAATTTTTTAAGGTAGCAAAAATTTGCAGAGAACAAATTTTCATTTATACTGAAAGTGTTTAAAAGGAATATATTTTAAAATAAATATAACTTGTAAAGGCATTTAAGACTTATAAAATTGCAGTTCAAAAAGTAAAATTATATTGTTTTTTTAGTTATCAATTTATAAATAAACTTTCTTTACACTTTGAAAGTGTTTACTATTTATTTTGGAGTTTCTCTACAACTTCTGGGAACTGCAAGTTGAAGACACATGAACAGAAAGCTAGATAAACTATGTATGACAGGTACATGTGCCTTCAACTGACAGTTAAAAGAAAGCTGTAAAAATAGACATTCATTGAAAAGCTGACATTAAATAAAAGGTGAGCAATTAGATGTATTTATGCCAAATGAACGACGAGGGAATACTTCCTGGTTACAGATTAATGCACTACAGGGCGTATACTTAATATTCAAAGACAGAATATTCTAAGAAGTGAGTTCGGCTTCATTTAAAATTATAAAATTAAGCTTTAAGCCTACAGTTATTATAAATATTTTATAATGCTTATAAAGATAATAGGGCGGATATATTTCCTGTTTTAAGCTGAATGCGCAACATAGCGTATACTTAATATTCTTAGGCAGAATATTCTAAAAGGGGAAAAAATAATGACTTTAAGTTGTACGATTCTTGAGTTCTTATTGATTTTTAAGAACAAAACTAAAAATGGCAAATAACAATTGAAATAATATGCAAGCTAAATGCACAACATGACGTATACTTAACATTCTTAGACAGCCTTAAATTATGTGTATAAGGTATACGCTTCTTAAGTAATTGTTTAATTTTAAACAATAAACCAAAGATGGCATCAAACTATAAATATACAAGTCTTATATGTTTTATAATGCACACCCGATACCCTACCAAACAGTAGGTGTTATTAAATTGGTAAGGCTGCGTATACGTAATGCATTTTCCCCCTCCCGAGTTGCACTCTCACGTTGCACTGCACTTGGCTCTGTTTGGCCCTCCAATTGTCGCAATCAGTTCCGTTCCGTTCCGTTCTACGAGGGAGCCAAGGGTGTGCACCGCCATGTGCAGCTCAAAAACAAAAAAACAAAAACAAATAAAGAAAAACGCGTCATGACCCTGACCATAGACACAGTCGCTAAAAGCGGCGATTGCACAATGTGTGTGAGGAGCGGGGAAAAGCTTTAGATAGTGTGTGCGAATGCACTTGGAAAATGTGTTATTGAGGCAAGGTGCAGCTGTCATTGTTCCACTCAATTTGTTTTTCATTAAAATGTATTTTTAAATAATTAGACTATATATGTTTGTTATAATGAAGAAAGTTGATGAAGGAAATAAGTTTTGAAACGTAGTGAAAAACTTTTAGAAGGGGTTAAAAGCTGTTAAAAAATAGATTTTGTCATCAAAAATATATATATATTTTTAATGTTAATTTTATATATTTTAAAATAAAACTAATACTGAATCGTATACTAAAATAAGGTATTTTATATATTATAAAATCTCATTGCTTATAAGAATCCGTTTACGCACTTTAAGCTTTTGTGAAACTTCTGAAATATTTTAAACTTAAAATGGCTTCGTTTTTTCCTTTTCAATTATTTATATAAATAACTCAAATTAATCCAATTTTGTTTTAATTTCTTTTGTCAAGTGTGTGGGATCATTGTCGTGACTTCCACCAGCTGATAGTTGCAAATGAGCGTTACAAAAGTGTTGTGACTGTGAATTGATGCGAAACGCGTAGTCAACGCTAAAGTGATTGGCCCTGGTGCCGGTCACGTTTTGGGCCCACACGCGATTTTAATAAGTCTATATATACATATATATACTTATTTATATATAGGTATATATAAGTATATATATAAGTAAGAAACGACTTTGTCATAAATTGAGAAATCGGTTGACAACAAAGTAATGAGAACTTGAGCGGTCAACTGCACTGTGGGCAATGTAAAAAGCTTAGGTGGCACTTTAGTTTTTTTTATAAGGAAATTAATTTAATAAAAAAAAAACGTATCAGCGATCTATTTTTCTTATTAAATAATGTTTTTTATTACTTCAGCTTATACTTAAACCCATGTCTGTATAAACATAAATGAAACGAAATTACTTAATCTAAAATAAAAAATTATTTTCCAATAAAAATCCATTTTTCTTATCAATTAAGCTAGAAGAATTTATAGCTTTTAAGTAATAAAATTTAATAATATTTTAAACGCAATAATTTCTCTTCTTTAACCCACTGTAATCTCTTGCCTTGCACAACTAAAATATATTCCATTGTTCTTTTGCAGTGGCCAAAGGTTCGATGAACCCCTCGAGTCGTCGTCGCCCGATGAGACTGCAACGAAGACTGTCACCTTTTTCCGCCCGCCAGGCGGCCTCCTCCTCGACGGATACCAGCAGCGGGGTGGAGACCGAGGTGGAGATGGATTCGGTGCACCGGATGCAGTTGGACGAGGATAGCTACTCGGCAGCCAGGATTCAGTATCATCAGCAGCAACAGCAACCACATTCCAGCAGCGACAGCAACATCAAGACAGTATTACAGCCCAACTCCTTCAGTAGCAAACACAATAGATCGGCTCCACCGGCCGTGAAGTTCTGCGAGGAGGTGCCCACCGAGGAGGAGGACGATGATGGCGGCGACAGTGGGTATGGATACAGCCAGGAGCCGGTCAAGGAGCTCCACCTGCAGCAGCACTATCATCAACACAACAGCGACGGTCTGCTGTCCATTGCTATCAAGACCATCAAGCTGGTGCAGCGCAATAAGCTCCTCCAGAAGCGGTTGACCCAACTGCAACTGGAGACCTCGGAGTTCATTGCCTCTGTGTTGGCCAATCCGGAGAACAGGCAATTCCGGGAGAAGATTACACCCAAGGCGGAGGCCAAAGTCAGCAATGTGCTTTTACGCCACTAGGAGGGCTGAAAAAATTAAAACCCGAAACAATTAAGCCCTTTTTCTGGATGTGTTGGAGTGTTAAGAATTATTTTATTTAATATTCAAAATCATGAGAAGCCAGAAATCTTTAATTTGTTTGATTTATTTGGTTTACCACAAGAGCTTAATTTGGCAACATGTTGCTACAACATTTTAAGGTTGCCAGAAAATGTGTAGCCTGCTTATGGGCTGCGTATGCAAGATGTTCAAGCTGATGTAAGGTGTATGTAAAAATCCTACACATTTTACATTTCTTAAAATTTTATATATTTAATAATTATTAATGTTTCCTTTAATTCAATATAAATACAAAATCAAAAGTGATATGATAAAGGAAAATATTAATAATGGAAGTTTTTTTTCCCACAATTTAGAAACATAAACATTATTTAAACTTTTCTTAAAACAGAAAACCTTTTTCATTTTATTATTTTCTGACTTTTAAATGGTGTAATAATTTTAACATAAATCAAAATATAATAATTTTTAGCACTTCAACAAGTTCAGCAAAAAATAATATTCATCAGGGCATTTCGTTTTGAGCAATTCGTACTGATTAACTTTATGAAAAATAATAAATACAAGAAAAATAAATGCATCAAAGTTTAACACTTAAAATATACAAAATAAACAAAAAAATCGCTATGCTAACATTTACAAACATAAAGAACATAATTTATAAAAATCCCAAGAAAGTCCAAACGTGTATTTTTATCTGTAGTCGCTAAGTACATTTTATGTTTTACAGTTTTTACACTCGAGAAAATTAATTTATACTATATATTAAACAATTACAATACATACAATATATATTAAATCTATACAAACCAGGCATAATCAATGAAATCCTACGACGCTTTCGCTTTATACAACAAATAGTTCTAGTGAAACTTAATTGATATGCAAAGCAATTGGTTAAAATACAGAAATAAATAAAAAAATGAAACCACAATACGTAATTCATCGTCGGTATTAGTTAATTAACCGATTTCCCCTCAATATGAATACTAATTGTATGTGTATGCTAAATGGTAAACTAAAACTATCAAAATGCTAAGAAAACACAAATCAAAGCAAAACCAAATTGAAAACTAACGAAAAGCAAAACCTTTCTAAAATTCTTATACATTTTAGTCCAACTCAACTTAAGTGACATTTTTCCATATAATAAACTTAGAAGGATATCAAACAAAACATCAAAAACTCGCAACAAATGATTTCATCAATAAAATTAGTGACAAAAATTAAAACATGTTTGATGCTTACTTACTTACTTCCCCCTCTATATATCGCTGTATAAATGCCATTCGAATAAGGCAAACAAGTCATGGCTAAGTGAGTACTTTGGTCGTGTCAATAACACCCAATCAATGCGTTCAAAGACCGTCTCGGTTTGTACAAAAAGATCTGACATGGAGTCTGTCATCGAGACAGTCACGCAGAGTCTGGGATGTTCCGAAAAATGTTTAAATGGTGGGTATTAAAATGTAAATATTTAGGGAATTTATTAAGCAAAAGAAATGTATCATCTTACAGAAAGAATACAATGAAATATTTACATGGCAAAGCAAAGAATTTATCTTTCTTCTTTGTTTTCAAAAATTTATCTATAATTTTGTAAATATATTTCTACTCTTATTAATATTATAAAATTTCTTAAACCTTTTCGATGAATCCCCAGAACACCCCCTTTAAAAGCTATCTATCTGTAATGCATCTCCGCACGCTACGCATCAAATTATTCAGCAATTGTTTCAAGTTCATTCAATTAAGACGGGCCTTCTTAGCCTGGCTAAGACCTTTTGAGTGTCATTCAGCAGTTGAATTGTGATTATGACGATGGTGTGCACACCCTTGTCAGCACGTCATACTTGGTTTTTTTTGTACTTCTTAACCACACACTTGACACTCAATTCCAGATCTTGGGCCGTACGTATTATTTGTAATCATAATTTTACTGAAACGCTTTTTGACGTTGGTCAATCACCGGAGCTGCGTTTATGGCTTTTGTGGGGGGCTATTATTATTGTTAGTTTACAGGCATTATATTGTTTTATTGAGTTTTTTTTTTACGCACTCTGGTCACGTCTTCATCTGTTTGAGACACGTGATTTATGGGCACCCAGTCAGTTGTATATATATTTTTTGTGGGGTATATTCATGCACTCAAGAAAAAGACCCAGCCCACTTGACACTGAAGAGGTTTTATTACCCGGCAAAACGGTGCAGAAACTGAACTTGATTTGTGTTTGTTTTTATTTTTTTTGATGCCGTGATTTCGGGATCTGTATTTGGTAATTTGTATTATTTGATATCCGTTTGGATAGCCACCGTTTTGCCATCTCGGATATGTATTTTTGTGGCTGTCGGCCAACCGTTAAATCGCTAAACAAAATCTGCTTGTGTTGTGTAAAATTTGGATCGCCGTGCTGGTTACCTTGGCAAGGTCGTTTTGGCGGGGAATGTTTGTCCAAGCGATTAAGGTTTGTTAAATAAATTAGAGGTGAGTCAGCTGGAGTGGCCTATAAATAATATTTCGCACTGACACCAATGCCGCAAGGCAGGTATTATATGCTGCACTTGCATCTTCTGTTTGTTTGGGCTAATTTCTCGCACTTCAAACCTGACATTGCCAGCTGACTTTTGAGCGCTAAGCTAATGTGCAATAACGAGTATGTAAATTGCAATGAGTTTGGTAAACAATTTATGCATTAGACTGTGCTAATTAAAGTAAGGATTCAGGGTCAATATGTTTACTATTGCAGTTTGTATAGTTAATAGAGTTAAGAGATGTTTTTGCTTGAAAGATTTCTTAATTAAAATGTAGTTGAAATATAAAATAAATAAGTATAACTTCCTAGGCATCTTTGATCTTGCAAATGTCAGTGTCATTTGTATACTACATTTTTATTAAATTTGGTTATTAATTATTACACAAAGTACCCATATTTTGCAGTCTCATTTTATGCTCTAGGCGCCACTATCACTTTGGGGAAAAACCACCCGCGCGATTATCTATTTTTTAAGCTTTTTGTTCGGCAGTTAAAATTTAATTAGCAAGGCGCATTGTCTTCGGCCTTTGATCTTTAATCAATTATCAGGCTCTCGAATTGAGTGGACCCAAGCACTTTATGGCACATAGAAACAAAATTGCCAAGAGTGAGTAGTACTCATTCACTCATGGTTAATAGTTGCCAAGTCATTGGCAAAGTGAATATGCATAAAAAAAAGCTAGGCAAATAGACCGCTGAAAAAATGCATTCAAACCGATTTGTTTGGATTGTATCTATAAAAAGATATATCTCATACACGACTCGTACTCAAGGTCAGCTCTGTCGCCTAGCGATTCACCGATATTGCCAAAAAAAAAAAAAACCAAGAGAAATATATATAGAGTTGGTTGTGAAAGTATCTGCGAAATCGGGCGATCTCGGCTAGAGTCAAAATCTGTTCATTTGCCCATTAATGAAACGATTTCGTTCGTATGCAAATGAGCCGGGTCACCCAACCATTTGTAATCCGCTGAATGCCATCTTAATGATCTTCGGGGCTCGTGTAAGCCAAGATCTGGCTGAAGGAAGGTCATCTGTGAATCCGGAAAAGCGTCACTCGGACTGACATTGAACTTCGCCAGAAGTCCAATGACTTGATCTCCCATTGTACTCCCCAAAAAAATTGGACAGCGGCAAACAGCGGAAGCACTTTAATTCCACAATCCACTTGAGCGTGTTCGCACCTCGGCGCTAATAAGTCAGCGACAAATCGATGATCATCAGAGTGTTCAATCCAATTTGATTAAAACGAACGAGGCGGGGTGCTAATCCTAATCATCATATGCAGCAAATTCCCCAAAAATAGCCCATAAAAAGAGCAGCAGAAAAAAAAGAAATCGCCATCAGGCAAATAAAAATTTGCAAGTTCACCCAATGAACTTGAAAAAGATGGTCCACTGAGCGAGATGGAGTCGGCAACTGATTCGTGTTCGCTGGAACGTAGTCCGGCAGCTACCTGTGTTGATACCTTGTTGGTGTTGTGTTACCTGCCTTTTTTTGACTGTGGCTTTTGTGTGTGATTGTGTGTAGCTTGCCTAGGCTTTAACGTTGCAAAGCCGGCCAGCGACGATTCATTTAAGCGCCGGACATCAGCGGGCGCGCATGCGCATTTGTATCTAAAATCGGACTATCGATCTAGACTAATAGATACAAGTTATAATTAAAAAAATACAAAAATAAAATAATATAAATAACTAATTATTAAAAGGAGTATCATCCAAGTGCTTTCGATCAGCAATTTTTATTTAGAGCATTTCGTAAGTGCATTCTATTGACAAAACGTGTTTAGAATTTCACAAGAGGACTTGAAATAACTTGCAGTCGAGTGTGTGTTTGTGTATCTGAGTGTGTATTTTTTGTGCTCAAATCTGGTCTGATGACGTTAACTAAATGCAGTAAAATTGCTCTTTTTAAGAACTAGTTGACAGGCTAAAAACAAATATGCAGTTAAGGTGTTTTTGCTGATGAAATTCATCAAGTGCTGTGCCCCAAAAAACTACTTCTATGTTGCTTAAGTTGCTAAAATTGCTCGCTAAAATTATGTGAAGTTATATAGTTGTGAATTTATATTGCAAATTAGACATAAAAAAGAAATAAATTGAAAACTAATTTTTATTTAAATATGTTATTTTTAATGATTTCGACTATAAGTTTTAAAGATTTACAATACTTTTAAAATAGTGTGCTGATAATGCAAATTTAAGTGAAAATATTATTATAAGATAATCAAATGATTAGAAATATTTTTAAAAATTTGTAAAATAAAAAAAAAACATTGTCTACAATTGCGGTTTTTATGAAAAATCTTTTCAAAGTTATCTATATTAATTAATTTGTAGTTAGAAGAGATACCACTAGGACTTTGAAGTGGTATAATTTTCAATTTTTATGACTTCGTAAATATATTAGTTTGAATTTTATAAATATGAATAAGGTATTGTACCTTTATAATTTTCAACTCTTCATATTTACAAAACATTTGTTCAATACTAATTTTGTACAGTTATTATAAAGCTTGTAAATTTCAAAACAATATACAAATTTTCCGCTTTAAAGTGATCTATATCTCACAACTTTAAAATGCAATAAAATGAAGTTATCACATTTTTGATGGGCCTGATGATTTTCTCAAAGATATTTCTTTTAAGCTCTACAAGCTCTCGGCTTTAAGCCCTGTTAATGGGCCAGTAGCTCAGTCACAGCATTGGACATGGACACAATTAAGACTTTGATGCCATTGTAATCGAGATCTTCGGAGCAGCACGTCGCAGCCAATTAGGTTCGGTTTAATGACCCGCATTGATTGAAATCGAAACGATAACCAGAACTATTAATGAATGCAACGCCCTTCGGAGGGCGGAACCGTGAGGGAAACCAGCATGACTTATAGCACAAAAACACAAGTTCTGTAAACGAATCGAGTATGGCCAACGGCAAGGCCAAGGCTTTTGGGGCTTATAGAACCCCATCGTGGTATCTCATAGTTACCCAGGGTGTATCTGATGGATCGTCGAACTAGTTTTCAAGACTCTGCCACTGTATTTATTCAACCGCCAAAGTGCTCCACTCAATTGGGGTTAATTGAAATGAATTTATTAACATTTGTGCAATTTTTGTTCCGATAAAATCCCAAACTGAACGATTTGCATAAGAAAACATTTTTGGCGCCCACAATTTTAAGTAATTTAATTTGGATTTTTTTTTTTTGCTGTATATATTTATAGTATATATATCTTTTTTTTTGTAATTTTTGTTGGCCTTACATCCGCGTGCTGTTTATGGGTCAACGCTTAAATATTTGCTGCGTCTCTGCGATCGATTTATTTTGATTTTTGCAATGTTTACTTTGATTTGGTTTCTTCTTCATTTTGGTTTTGTTTTGATCACGAAACCGGTTGGCTAGCATTAACTTTATATCGCTCCTTTTGCAAAGTCATTATTTTTATTGGCTCTTTTGATTTTCTGGCCGTCGTGTAACACCAAAAACCAGCTGAACTTGAGCTCAAAACGCGTTCGGGACGATCTTAACTCGTTGGGGCGTGAATATCTTTCAGAACATAAAAGTGGCGAAAGTGAAATCGGTTTTCAAGGTTGCTGCAATTCGCATGCAGTTGTTAATTGAGAATTCTGGATCGGCCTTGGAATATTTACCTGAGAATTAACTTAAAGGCGGAGATTGTATTCTCGTTCTGGATTCTTTATTTGCTTTCATGGAATTTTTTCTGGAATAACAAAATAAATTCCTTTTAATTAAGAGGTTTTGCTTATAGGTATAAATCCATTTGGAGCCATTGCAAGATAATGTATAATAAGTTATGAAATATTGACAAGATAATAAGATCTTTATATTTTAACATTAAAAAGAAATAATAAAAGGGAGAGCAAAGAATAAAATAAAAAGTTAAAATATATATTTTTATACCATTTCAGGGTATTATAGTTTTAGTCTAAAGCTTGTACAGCAGTGAAGGAGTCTTTTCCGCCCCTGTAAACCATATATATACTTGATCAGGATCAACAGCCGAATCGATCTAGCTATGTCCGATAAAAATTAAATTTTTTCAAAATGTTAAACATTTTATAAGGGGTTAAATCGTTAAAATTGTCAAAAATGTAACCAAAAAAATTATGTTTTTTTAAATTTTTAATTGAGTACGCAGATTTATTTTCCTAATAAAAACTAGCATAGGAATGGTTTCCAAATTAAAATTAAAGCTTTTTTGGCTGACCTATGGGTTTTTTAAACATTGATTTGGCGCAAAAAATGTCATATACAAATTTCAAGCACATCAATTGAAAATATGCGAATATTTTAAGCTTAGTTAGGGTCGATTTCTGATTCAATCTTATAAATCAACTTCAAGCTACGAAGATATATAAAATTCATTTTCCTGAAGTTAGATTTCTTTCTTGTTGAATGTGTTTTAGTAGTAAACATTTTAAATCGAAGCTCTTTAATTAATATTTCTCATTTTCACAGATTAAATAGCGACCAAGATGAGACTCCTTGGAGTGCTGGCTCTTTGTCTGAGCTTCCTGCAGGTCACTCGCTCTCAGTTGCTGGTGGACTTGGCCCGTGATTTTGAGACTTCTTTGCTAAACACCCGAATTCCTGACACCACTCGCTTTCTGCCCGAATATGACTTTATTATTGTGGGTGCCGGCAGTGGTGGCTGTGTGCTGGCCAATCGGTTGAGTGAGATCACCTCGGCAAGTGTCCTGCTCCTGGAGGCCGGCGATCAGGAGACCTTCATCAGCGATGTTCCATTGACGGCAGCTCTCACCCAGATGACCCGCTACAATTGGGGCTACAAGGCAGAACCCACGGCGAATGCCTGTCAGGGATTGAAGGGCGGAGTGTGCAACTGGCCCAAGGGGCGTGGTGTTGGTGGCACCAGTTTGATCAACTTTATGCTTTACACACGAGGACATCGCCGGGACTATGATGAATGGGCGGCAGCCAATAACTCGGGTTGGTCCTACGACGAGGTGCTGCCTTACTTCAGGAAATCTGAGAGAATTGGCATTCCGGAGTTGTATAAATCCCCCTATCATGGTCGCAATGGCCCCCTGGATGTGCAGTACACGGATTACAGGTCCAAGTTGCTGAAGGCTTTCCTTAAATCAGGCAGGGATATGGGTTACGACATCACCGATCCCAATGGTGAGCATCTGATGGGCTTTGGCAGATCCCAGGCCACCATAAGAAATGGCAGGCGTTGCAGCACCAGCAAGGCTTTCATCCAACCGGTGGTCCAGAGGAAGAACTTACATGTCTCCATGAAGAGTTGGGTCACCAAGTTGATTATTGATCCGAGAACAAAGACAGCCACTGGAGTGGAGTTTACAAAGCAGCGTCAGCGATTTGTGGTGCGAGCCAGGAAGGAGGTGATTCTCTCAGCTGGAACCATAGCCAGTCCCCAGTTGCTGATGCTTTCGGGAGTGGGTCCAGCGGATCACCTAAGGGAGCATAACATATCTGTGGTGCAGGATTTGCCAGTGGGTCACAACCTACAGGATCACATAACACTCAATGGACTTGTCTTTGTGGTCAATGATTCCACGGTGAATGATGCTAGACTGCTGAATCCCTCGGACATCTTTCGGTACATCTTTGCTGGCCAGGGACCTTATACTATTCCTGGAGGAGCTGAGGCTTTTGGTTTTGTTCGGACTCCTAGCTCCAGTTATGGTGAGGAACTATTATTTAGAAGTAATTAGATTACAGTTTTCTAATAAAGTTTGTCCCACAGCCAAGGACTATCCCGACATGGAGCTGGTCTTGGGCGCTGGTTCCTTGAGCGGCGATCGCTTTGGCACTATGCGTAATCTTCTGGGAATAACAGATGAGTTCTATGACACCATGTTTGGTGATTTGCAGAATAAGGAGACCTTTGGTCTGGTACCAGTACTCCTGCGACCCAAGAGTCGTGGTCGCATCTCATTACGTAGCCGCAATCCCTTCCACTGGCCGAAAATGGAGCCAAACTTTATGCAGCATCCAGATGATATTCGCGCCATGATTGAGGGCATTGAAATGGTAATTATTTACTTAAAATTTATGATAAATCCAGGATTCTTAAGAGCTATTCCCATCTTCTTAATAGATTCTACAGTTGGCCCGATCCAAGCCAATGGTCAAGATGGGCACTCGTTTCCATGCTCGTCCTTTTCCAGGCTGCCAGCACTTGAAATTCGCCAGCGAGGAGTATTGGAGATGCTGTCTTCGTAGGTATGGTTCCAGTTTGCAACATCAGTCTGGAACTTGTAAGATGGGACCCTCAGAGGATGCCACCTCCGTGGTGGACTCCCAGCTGAGGGTTCATGGCATCCGGGGACTTCGTGTTGTGGATGCCTCTGTGATGCCCAATGTTCCCGCTGGTCACACCAATGCCATTGTGATAATGATTGCCGAGAAGGCTTCGGATATGATCAAGGATGCTTGGAGGATGAGAACAGCTCCTTTGACTTTCTAAATGTATCCTTAAGTTTATTATTTATTATATAGCTGTCGCCCCAAGTCATTAGGTTAAGTCTGCATGTGATAAAATTAAGCTTAGTTATGGGTTATTCTATGGTTTAAATGTTGGGTTACCTTTTCTGAAAGATTTTTCCACTTGGGATTGGTGACAGAAATTAATTTGTGTTCAATGTACTGAGAAGTTTCTCTAACTTTATACAAATTAAATTAAGTTATAATAAATGAATTCAATTTTGTTTCAAATTCGAAATTTGGCGCCTGCTTTGAAAGCTGGACAAAGCTTGGTATCTGTTTTTTAGCAGCCAGAGTTTGTTGTTAGGAAATGAAAGCTTTTTTAAATGTCTGAAGATAACCAAAATCTTAAAATTAAAAGTAATACGTTAAAGTTTTTTCTCTTATAAATTAATATAATATTATTAAATATGTTCTTTACTCTATACGAAAATTAAATATTAGAATAATAAGGATATTCCTAAAATTTTTTAGTATTTAAAAACAAACGTAGTGACGGGTTCACAGTTATACGTTACATACTTGACGTAATTTTACGTATACATAGATGGCGTATTTAACGTTTTCCCCTTTTTACTTACGTAACGTAAGTGTAACGTTTTCGTAGGAAAAACTACAATTTGACTTGGGGAAAAAATGCTTCAATATCTATTTGTTTGCTAGCAGCAAAATTTAAGTTTCCCTTCTGGTGCAGCCAAAATAAACAATGTCACGCACAGGCATTTTTGCTTTTCACATAGAACCAAGTTGGATGGTAATATCAGAAAGGCTTTGCGTGCCCCGTCGAGGATTGTTTTTAATGACCGCTCGCCGTGTAATTGCCGCTGACCCCCCTTTCCCCTGGGCACCAGAGACAAAAGGCGTCGCCTGGCAACCGTCGCGTTTTAGAGGTTCCTTAACCCGGCAATAAAATTAACCCACTTTGTCTGGCCGCTTGCGTATGGGGGGGCACTTATGTATGTGGGGCCATGGCCACGTGGCGTAAGCGCAATAAGTTTAATTAAATATTAAAATCCTAGGCTACAGGGTGTTGCTATAAATAGGTTACTTAAAGTAAGAGTTACTCTTTAACAAGTTCTTTAAAAAATATTTATGTAAAAGTAAAACCCCTGGAGCGTCTTACATTTTCACAAAGTCTTTAATTGTTTCTGCAAAATTGGTAACCCCTTAAATCAAAAGGATTTCAGGCTGGCATTCTTCAATAAAATATTCAAAGGGATGCCACACAATATGAAGACCTGGCCTGGCCTTTTGTATCCACTTGCGGACATTGCTTAAATACCTCAACTGAAATTGTTGAATGTCCATGGGTGCGTATACGTAATATTTCTGGAAATATATTTATGCGTATGTCTGTCGATGTCAGTTTTGGATCCCCCATTTGATGTCAATATTTCCATTGGTGCCACATTGTTGGGCTTAGATTCGAAATTCATGCTGCAGCCGCAAAAACAATCCAATTACTCGCTCGGTTCAGTGCAGCTTTCGTGCTAATTGCTTTGCAAAACACTGGGGTCAATAATGAAAATGGAATCTGAACGAAAGTGCGCATTGATTGCCGGCATTTTACGATTCTGTGCGGGTAATTGGAAACTCGGTAATGTATTGGATACTAAAGTGACCCATTTAATTCACCTTTTCACCTGAGGGGGAAGAAAAACTTTTAAGTCAACAAATGCTTCTTATCTGTTTTTCCTTACGCTCAAGTGGAGCGACTTAAAGATAAGGGGAAATGCTCCATTTCAGTGCGGCTTAAATGCAAAGCAGCTCATTGGGTTCTTTTTTTTCCTTCTCATCCTGTAGCGTTGATTTAATTAGGAATCTTATGACGTGCGAAGGCGACTGAATACCAAATGGGTCATAGGATGCCATGCTTCGTGGACTGTGCAATCAGGGCAGATATATCTGCAGTCTGGTGTGTGTTTTACTTGCAACTTGCCAAGGTTTTCCCCCTGAAGCGAAGCATTTTATTTTATTTGACTTACCATATGCTTCACTGACTGCCAGACGAGTCAAAAGAAGTCTCGAGGGGGACTAAATTCTTTATTGATTTTGCCTTAAAGGGGTATCTTCATATTCCATTTCAAATTTAAAGATATTACTTTTAATAAAGATGTAAAAAAGTCACTTATTACGACTGCCTAATTAGTTACTTGTATAATTCATATAATTCTTTCTTTAAGCGAATTTTTCTATGATTCAATTCTTAACAATAATTGGTTAAAGGAACCTTTTAGTACTTAAATATTTATTTTTTAAGAAAAACGATCTCAATGGACCCAAGCTTAACCGCTAGTGTAAACTTTCTTAGCTCTTAAAAAACTTTCACAACATTCTGTACTATCTGCTCCTTTCTTATTTTATCCAAGGCTTATTTGCAAAAGAGCTCGAAGCACTTGAAGTATGCAGCGGAAACTGTGAAGAGTTGTAAAGTTTGCTACAAAAAAATTAAAAGCGTCCAGGGAAGTCTCAACCGGACAGCCAAGGGATACGATACGATAATGAAAATGGATACAACGTTCAGGTTTCGTACTTTACTTTAAAAATGTTCTTGCCACAAGAAAGGCAAACTTCAACTTGTGCTGGAAAAAATCAAGAAAGAAAATTGCTTTTGTGTGCAAATATTTAGCACGGAAATTGCGCTTGCAAGCGAAGTTGCAGTCCTTGAACAGAAACCAAAAAGGATTCCGATGCGATAATTAAATTCTCACAAAAGGGGAAACTTTTGTCAACATTTCGAAATGCAACGACTACTAATTGTACCAAAATGTGTAATGAGTGAGGAAAGATTTTTCAATTTGTCACAAACTAAATGGTTAAATTACTTAAAAGAGTTTTTGCCTTAGCCAAAGTTTCTCACTCATCAAATGAGCACAACTTTTCCAACTTCCTTCTGAAGGGAAAGTTTTACTTTCGATTCCCAGGAACATATGTCGGTGTCAATGCCAAAGGAATTTCGGCGAATTTACGAGGCAATTCAAGTTAAAGTCATTTGGCAAAGTACACGTCAAGGCGGTAAGTGCTCGAAAAATATGGCAGGCTAGGCCAAGAAGGGCGTTATAATTTATGGTAAGCCAATAAAAATAATTGAAAAGCATTAATGCCACGCAGCCGGAGAAGCCTGCCAGCGTGCTGGTTAATGGCGAGCATTGAACTCGAACAGAGCTCGGTTCAGAAATGTCCTTGTCTGGCTGAAAACAAAGACCACTCTCCTTGTGCCTTCATCGATTTCTGGGAAGTGAAATCGGAGCTGGCACTAACCGAGGCTACTGGAATATTCAAGTAATGGCTTGCAATAAAAAAAAGGAGTCGTAAAAAGCGTTGAGAGCAGCGCCAGACCAAGTCAAAGTTGAAGGAGGCCTGCTCGTGTGAAAGGTTTGAAATAAATAAAATATTAGAATGCGGAAACTGCTGTATACATATATTGATTTGCCATAAACTCCGTGGTACGTATAATGTCAAAAAAAATAAAAATAAAAACAAATTTGTTACGACTCCCCCTAATGTTGACATCACAGAAAAGGAAATAATACAAGTTTCAAGACTGAGCAATAAATCTGTTTTGAAGTTGGCCAAAACAGATGCCAAATTTCTTAACATTTTTGCTGTAAATATTTATAAATTTATTTCTATAAATTTAAATGATGAACCTTCATAATTCCTTCCAATAATCTAGGGTAATTTCCCTGTTAAATCTTTCTCTTCCCCTTCACTTTAAAGAAAAACTTTTGCCTTGGATAATGGTCTCCGAAAAGAGCTGAAAGTTTTTTGGCTCAACTTCTATTGGGATCACATCTAAACCCCTTTTGGCCTGTCGATGTGACAGGCACTTGACATGAGGCCAGTGGAGTGACAAACAATTTGCCGTTCTCGGCAATGTTTTTGCTCCTGTTCTGGCCACATCAAAGAGCAAACCACTGGGCCAAAAAAAAAAAAGAAGATTGAAAGGCCAACCAAGGGGTGGTACTGTTTGGCTAAAACAAACTTGCTGATTGAGTGATTGGACAGAGTTTCGAGCTCTCAAATTTGAGTGCAATGACATTGATTTAACTTAAGCCTTTTTTGACTCTAAAGTCTAAGCTTAAAAGCAGAGAAAAAAGCCTTAAAATTGCAATTAACTAATTAAAATTGCCTCTGATATTTGGAAGAAGCCAAAGAAAAAAGGGCTGCCACGCAATTTAATCTAATTTATGTACGCAAATGCTTTTAGGACCTTAACCCATTCTTTCTTTCATCTTTTGAACACAAATATCACATTAAAGCGGCGTCAGCATTTTTTTTGGTATCAGATTCTAGGCCATAAATCAAAACTCCATATATTATGACATTCACTGTGAATATTCTTATATTTCATTGCCGAGTTTTTACCGAGCTAATGCTGCGATACCCCCGAGTATCCTCAAAAGGGATTTTCCACCCTAAATATCTCCCACACACATACGCCTACATATTTTCCGAGCCTTTAATGGTTTAATTTATTAACTTCGTAAAATAAAAGTGTGAGTCTGGGATTACATTTGAATTATTTATGACGGCTGCTTGAGGGGGATATATAAATGCCAGTGAACATACGATTTGCACGAGGGACTCGTGTGTGTGTGATTAACATCGCTCCGAATCTGACTCGTTTAGCCAATTAGCGATCCATTGCACGAATTAATAGCCAGACAGGCATTCATCATGTGGAAAATTGCTCAATACTACACTCTCTCCCTCATATCATTTCCACACTCATCAACGAATTTCCCAGGCGGTGCGTATATAATGCAGTATAAATGGTAATTTCCTGCTTTAATTCATCCCGAGTGTCCATATTTGCAAATTTGGTGTGCTGCCAATTTGGTCAGTGATTCTGACCGAAATAATTTATGGCTAAATTCATTGCCAACTTCATCTATACATGCCTGTTGCTGTTGGCTTCTGTCGGATAGGAAAATTTTACGGGCTTTTCTTAATTAAAGAACTTGGAAAATATGGAAAAAG